GTCAATCTCATTCCTTTCTTCCTCAATTTTCCTCTCCAGTCCCAACCATTCTCGCACCGACCTCCATTTCCTCAAACCCAAACCCAATCTCAGATTGCGGGTTTCCTCCACCACCACTATCCGCTGCGAACTGGCCACCCTCCCCGTCCTCTCCTTCGACGGGACCCAGGTCGGCACCGCCGCCCTCAACCTCAAGTCTGCCCCCTCTGATACCGCGCGCGCCGTCGTCCACCGCGGCATCACCACCGACCTCACCAACAGCCGCCGCGGCACCGCCTCCACCCTCACCCGCGCCGAGGTCCGCGGCGGAGGTCGGAAACCCTACGGTCAGAAAAAGACAGGTAGTGCCCGGCGCGGGTCGCAGCGGACCCCTCTCCGCCCCGGAGGCGGCGTCATCTTCGGGCCAAAGCCCAAGGACTGGTCCGTCAAGATCAACAAGAAGGAGAAGAGGCTTGCCATCTCCACTGCCATCGCTAGTGCATCTGAGAGCATCATTGTTGTCGAGGATTTTGAGGACAAATTCGAGAAGCCAAAGACCAAGGAGTTCATAGCCATGTTGAGAAGGCTGGGGCTAGACCCGAAGAAGAAATCGATGTTCCTGATGACCGAGATCTCGGATAATGTGAGGCTGTCGAGCAGGAATATCGGGACTCTGAAAATGCTGACGCCTAGGACACTGAACTTGTTCGATATTTTGGACTCACAGACTTTGGTTCTCACTAAAGGGGCTGTCGATTTCTTGAACGAGAGGTATGGGGATTTGGGCGAGGATGATGAAGAAGAGTACGAGCTGGAAGAATGGGAAGATGCTGATGAAGGTTCGATTTTTTTTTTTTCGAAATTATATTATGAATTTGGAGTATGTGGAACTTATTTGATTTTATGCGGGTTGCTGTTTTTATTTGTTTTGTTCATTCTGCTTCTTGGTTATTTTACTCTATTTAGACTGTTTTGAATGCCGCATGATATATTTGAAATATAGAAGATATTTTTGCATACATTCCGGCTGGACTTAATTTTTGTTGCTAGGAAATTCTGTTCCGTGATTGATTGTAAGTCCCTTAGGCGAGGTCGATGAAGATGTACTTGACCTTTGCAAAACATTTTTGTACAAATTTAGTTATGTTCTCAAATGAACTAATAGCTCTGGCTGAATAGTTGAGAAAACTATTAGTTGAAATATGCTGTTGAGTTGTCCAAAGTGAGGGGGTTCGAAATTGATCTCGTTCGAATTGGGAAACTTACTATGTACAAGGTGGAACACCATAACAACAATCTCACAATCCATTCACTATGCAAAATGAAGATGGGACTGTGTTCAAAATTACTAGTATGATCTGATGTTTTATGCTAGACTAGGGAAAATGGGATGAGACAGTGAAACTGGTGATGCTTTTCTAGCCAGATTTGTAACAAGGAAAATATGAATGCCAACTGGCAGAAAGGTTTAACAGCAATATTAGATAGAAATTTTGGAACATAGAATGGGTGAAAAAGAAGTTGCTAGGAAGAAAGAAGAGAAAACAGATCAGAAATCGTGAAGCGGAACTCATTTTTGTTTTATTCCTCCGAATAGAACATGGCCATAGGAGATAATACTTAGGGAAGAATCAGAATTTTGTCCCTGATGATGAACTCTTCAGCTTGTATCTGTCATGTAATTGGTTTATTTTGCAAGTTGCGTGCTCTATAATATCAATATACCTTCTTTTTTTATTTTTTTTTTATTTTTTTTTCTATTAGTTGTTTTAATTGCTCTAATCTCGGAAATAAAAGATCTGCTTGAAATATATACCATGAGTTTCTTCACACTTTTTTTTATCAGGATCGGAGGTAGAAGAGAATCCTGATACAACCGATTGATGCTGTCGTATACATTCCATGAACTGTTCGAAAGTCCTTCCTTGTATTATCCAAGCGGGTCAAAAACCTCTAGTGTTGCCAAAAACTACCATCAAAATTTATTTTGTGCAAATTTGTATCAGGTTGCAGGCCAACAAAATTCCTAAGCAAGATGTGCGCCTATCTCAAATTTATCTTATCGTTCGTATATTTTTGTCATTTTGACTCATTAGTCGATAAGGTTGGTATAATATAATGCATAATGTAGTTAATACTTGCCGCTTATTATTTATGTCAACTCATTTATATAGGCTGCCTCTATTTAAGATTTTGGCACCTCATGTCTCTCAATCTTCACAATTGTGTCTCTGTTCAGTGTGATCTTTCTTGACATCTTGAAGATATCTATGAAGTCACATTTACAGAGGACAAACACCACATGTCGAAATTATGGGAGATGGAAAGTGATCGGCTTATTAGGTTTATTTTTGTTGTTTGTAGTCATTTTACATTGGTTATTGATTTTATTTTCATGCTACTGGCTTGTTTGGATACAAGTGAAACTATCGTTCAAGAATTGCAAATACCATCAGCTCCGCGATTCCGAGACCTTACATGGCTGTATTCCCGCTTATGCATTTTGACAATTGCTTCGATTTTATGGTTTAGTATGAAAATTCCATGTTTAGAAATTTTACAGTGTTGGGACCTTTAGTTTTGTCTTCAAAACAAGTTTTCACATTGATGCAAGTTATCAACATTTTGCTATGCGTCATGGCACTATTTAGCATTGGCAGTATCAATTTATTGCTTAGCATGGGGCACTACCCATGGGTAGGATGAAATCAACATTCGGGCAAACGGTCGTGAAGTTGGTCAAGCTAGCTACGTGCGCATTTTTTATTTTCTTCAATTTAATTATAAAACATAATAACATAATTTTTTTGCATATAATCTATATTACTATTATATACAGATTTAGGATTATATGAGAATGATAGATAGTGAAAGAAATAAAAATGATTCTGGACCATTAGATCCTTCCCATCAATGGTCATGATCAAGTCAAACTTGAATAAATAATGCTCAATCATTAATGGGAACTAGTACAGTACCCGTGCGATGAACGAGATTTATTACTTCCGTCCCATTTAAAAAGCAAATTTAAGTTAAAATTCAAAGTGCTTACTAAAGTATCATGTCATTAATAATTAATAAATATAATAAAAATAAAATCTATATATTACTGAACATTGTCTTATATACAATGTTCATGGTTTGATTATTTGGCACGTCATCGTCGCCACAAATTAGGATTTTCAAACCATTTATGTTTGTGACACGAGAGACAACAACATACAACTGGCCCCAAATCGTACAGTTCTTTATGTTTCCCCTACACAATGTCTAAAAGGTTTTAAAGGGCATATTATGAGTTGAAAAAATAAATTCTAAGCATTAACATTTTAATTTTTTTTTAAAATATTACATGCGTAAAATATGAATATATAATGCAAAAGATTCTTACTCCAAATCCATAATAGAGAATACAATCGTTTGGGTTGGAACTCCCTCGACAATCTTTATTTAAATAGGTTGTATTGAAACAACCAATCCAATAACATCTACAAAAATATAAGACAATGCATCATAATGAAATGTATAATGTATAATATAGTTTATTAAAGATTTTAACTTAAAAGAATCGAAATAAGAAATAAACAAAAAAATATAGCGTACCAAACAACATGACTTCATCAACATTATGAACACCTATTAAAGTTAGAAAGTTCCTAAAGTCAAAACGATACCTAGGAAATTCACTCCTCCACTTGAGAATGTTGGTTTGGCAACTGATAATGATCATCCAATTACCTATCGTCGATTTATAGATACTAATATTGTTTGATATCCATGATTACTCCAAAATCTAATGTCATTTTGAATGTATACGAAACAACTTGTAAAAAAATATGTTTTGGGGGATGTATTAGGTGTAAAATATTTTTGGTTCAATGTTGATGATGGTTATATAGGCATTTGTGTATGTGACATATAACTTGCACGATAATTTAAAAAATGATTTACGTCAGGTTTTTAAATTGAGTAGGACTTATATTCCTAAATAATGTGATTACGATCGACTTCAAAAATATATGTTTATCCATTTTGATAAAAAAAAAAGAAAAAAATAAAAACAAAAACATAAAATGTGGAACGCGTTACATATGCCTCGGATTTTATCGATTATTGAAGATTATGTATTATATCAATGTGACATAATGTTTACTAAAATTAATTGAGTTTGTTACAATTAATTTGGTAAGACTTTTTGGATTGATTGAAAATTAATACTGTATTGGGACCTTTAGTTTTGTCTTCATAATAAGTTTTCACATTGATGCAAGTTATCAACATATTGCTATGCGTCATGGCACTATTTAGCATTGACAATATCAATTTATTGCTTAGCATGGGCACTACCCATGGGGTAGGATGAAATCAACCTTCGGGCAGACGGTCGTGAAGTTGGCTAAGCTAGCTACATGCACATTTTTTATTTTCTTCAATTATAAAACATTATAACATAATTTTTTTGCATATAATCTATACAGTAATGTTTCCCTACCTACGGTGGGCGCATGTTAATATGTACACTGCTTATGTGGCATGCACACATTGGTAATGTTCATATGTTCAAAAAAATACATCACCAATGTGTGCATGCCACATAAGCGGTGAACATATTAACATGTGTCCACCGTGGGCAGGGGAGCATTACTCATAATCTATATTACCATTATATATAGAGTTATGATTATATGAGAATGATAGATAGTGAAAGAAATAAAAATGATTATGGACCATTAGATCCTTCCCATCAATGACCATGATCAAGTCAAACTTGAATAAATAATGCTCAATCATTAATGGGAATATAGTAAATAAGTAGTAATATTATGGTCAAATATATGTATTTGACCACTAATTAAGGGTAAATTAGTCTCAATAACTAATGCCAACTCAGTGGGACCCACATCCACCATCCCCAACTACCAACTCGTCACCTACACTATATTTCCTCTCACACATTAATTTTACAGAAACACACACACACACACACACACACACACACACTCTCTCTCTCTCTCTCTCTCAATCGTATCACACACACACACAAACTGAGCCCACCGAAACCGCACG